TTTAAGGGGGACTGAGGGCACACGTCCCCCTCAACATTTAGAATAAGTCCATTTATCAACCTAAAAACACTGACAAATGTTAAGTAGTTTTCATGAGCATGGCTGTAGATTTTCAAGGGGACGTAGGGCGCACATGCCCCTCAACATTTAGAATAAGTCCATTTATCAACCTAAATACATTGTAAAATGTTAAGTAGGTTTTCATGAGCATGGGCATACATTTCTGAGGGGGGCTAAGGGCACACGGCCCCCTCAATATTTAGAATAAGTCCATTTATCAACCTAAATACATTGTAAAACATTAAGTAGTTTTTCATGAGCATGGGCGTACATCTTTAAGGCGGACTAAGGGCTTACGTCCCCCTCAACATTTAGAATAAGTCCATTTATCAACCTAAAAACACTGTAAAATGTTAAGTAGTTTTTCATAAGCATGGGCGTAGATTTTTAAGGGGGACGTAAGGCACATGGCCCCCTCAGTATTAAGAATAAGTCCATTTATCAATCTAAATACATTGTAAAATGTTAAGTTTGTCATGAGCATAGGCGTACATCTTTAAAGGGGACTAAGGGCACACAGCCCCCTCAATATTAAGAATAAGTCCATTTATCAACCTAAATAAACTGTAAAATGTTAAGTAGTTTTTCATGAGCATGGGCGTAGATTTTAAGGCGGACTAAGGGTTCACGGCCCCCTCAACATTTAGGATAAGTCCATTTATCAACCTAAAAACATTGTAAAACATTAAGTAGTTTTTCATGAGCTTGGGAGTACATCTTTAAGGGAGACTAAGGGCACACGGCCCTCTCAACATTTAGGATAAGTCCATTTATCAATCTATACATTGGAAAACGTTAAGTAGTTTTTCATGAGCATGGGCGTACATCTTTAAGGAGGACTGAGGGCTCATGTCCCCCTCAACATTTAGAATAAGTCCATTTTATCAACCTAAAAACACTGTAAAATTTTACGTAGGTTATCATGAGCATGGGCGTAGATTCTTAAGGGAGACTAAAGGCTCACGTCCCCCTCAACATTTAAAATAAGTCCATTTATCAACCTAAATACACTGTAAAATGTTAAGTAGTTTCTCATGAGCATGGGCGTACATTTTTAAGGGGGACTAAGGGCACACAGCCCCCTCAACATTTAGGATACGTCCATTTATCAACCTAAATACAATGTAAAATGTTAAGTATTTTTTCATGAGCATGGGCATTTTTAACACAGCCCCCTTAACATTTAGAATAAGTGCATTTGTCCCCCACCATTAAAGAAAAAAATGACTAAATTAAAGACATTTCCATCTTAAATTAAAAGAAAGGGCACAGAGTAGTCAACAGAATGTAAGAAATGAAGTGTCTGAAGCTTCATATGTCCCTACAGTGCTGAAACACAATCTACGCCCTTGATCATGAGCATCTCTCAGGGTTGGATGGATGACATTTGTTTCCCAGGAGCCAGGCAGGAATTCAAGCACTTGATGACTTCACAGTAAGTCAATAACGGTCACTTTTTATGACAAACACTGACCATTAAACAAGCCAAGAAAAGGTAGTTTTCTCAGTAGTGTGAGAGGTGGATAAAGTCTCTAATGAAGGGGGCTAAACCTCCCCACACAGAAGCCGAGTTACCTTCATCCAGCAGCCGCTCCAGATGCGTGAAGATGCCGCTGAAGTTGGGCAGGGAGCTCATCACCTTCCTGTCGTTCATCAGCTGCATGAGATAGTCCGGGTTGGACTTGGGTCTCTCCTTCACCTCTGTCTCCCCGACCATGGCTTCAGCTTCGACAGTAAAGTGACCTAGCTAGTTTTTAGAAACTTGTGGGGGAAAGCCACAAAAAAACAACCACACACGCCCCGGCAAGCGATGCGAGGACCCCAGGGGTTTCCACCGACCCGCTGACCGCCTACCTCTGTGTGTGTGTCTGTGTGTGTATGTGTGTGTGTGTGTGTATGTGTTAGCTAACTCAAACCTCAGCTCCGGTTAAATCGACTGTCCCTCGGTTAACGTTTCGTGTGTGTCACCCTCCTCTCTTCCAAACGGTTCCCCCCCTGTGTCCGACTCTCTCCAGAGTTTAAAAAAGTTCCTTTTTGGGGGTACTTCGGCTCTTTTTGACACTTTCACGGACTCCACGCGCTTCTGTAACGGCTAAAATAAAATCTCTACCATCAACTGGTGTCCTCCGCCCCGGCTGCTCCGCTGGTGTCCGCCCGGTGTGTCGGTATTCTGCAGCGGGGCTCGGCTCCCTATCATATGATTACAGTACAGCAGCAGCACGAGTGGGCTGTCGGGGGCGCGCCGCGCGTCGCCGCTGTCACTGGGAGGGGAGGAGGCTCGTGCTCGTGCCCTCAGAGCCCCCGCCCCGCCTCTCTGACTCTCAGTCGCTCCCACGCGCACAGGCACGCACGCACACACCCTGAGCCCACCGTGTAACAATAACACAGCTCTCTACATAGTTATGCACACCTGTTTCTGTCCATCACCTGTCCTGTGACGTGTGTGTCCAGGTGCCCTAAAGAACACGTTCTCAAGTTCTTGTACTTTACTTCAGTATTTCCATTTAGGCAGTTTTAGCCTTTAATAATGGCAGAAAAATACTAAATATGCTAAATATATAGTTAAAATCTTTGGAGCAAAATCAGCAACTGACAGCTGGCCGTTTGGTCATGGATTTTCAACGTCCTGATATGACGTGCAAGTTACCCTGGCTGCATTGGTTGTTGACATTCTGGGACTCTGTGTCAAGTTCTCCCTGTTACATGCATTGTCTTATTTCAAAATAAACTTCTGTTTTCACAGGGAATTTAACGTTTACATACAGTCTCTTTCAAAATAAAAGCACCATGTCGGTACAACAGAAGCAAGTGGTTAGGCTTAGAAAAAAAGAACAGGGTTTGGCTTTAGAATCTTACTCTTCCGGGTGAAGGTCAGTGTTTGCTGGACCCATCCACCACCACTCCCGCCCACCCCAGGCAGACATTCACAGCCTTGCGTCCTTGCGTTTCCCCCGACACCGCTGAGCGCTGTTGAACTGTAACGGCAACCAGTCGCGTATCATGCTGACATTAAAGGACGCCTTTTTATGGAGGTTTCTGACGCCACAGGTCACTGCCCAAGCAACACGGGCTCCCTCAAGAACTGGACTCAAGTTTGGTTTTGAAGTACTTGTACTTTACTTGAGTATTTACGTTAACCTTTTTTTTTGTCAGTGTCTGATGTTACAAGTCACTGCCCATGACTTTGGAGTGAGACCAGGTTGGCCTATTAAGCACAAAATATATACGTTTTTGAAAGTGGGCACAAACAAAATTTTGAGAAGAGGCGGGACTTGGATTACAACACACACATCAAGGTAGCATAACTTCATCCCCTGCTCAGGACATCATTACTCCTCAACTGTATATCTTTACATAACATACAGTTGTTTGCTGCTATGTTTTTTAACATATTTTTTGGGCATTTTTAAGCTTTTAATTGATAGGACAGGTGAGCGTGAAGGAGGGAGAGAGAGAGGGCGTGACATGCAGCAAAGGGCCACAGGCTGGAGTTGAACCCGGGCTGCTGTGGCAACAGCCTTGTACATGGGGTGCCTGCTCTACCACTAAGCCACCGATGCCCCAGCTGCTATGTTAATGTTCTGAATGTTCTATAGAGCTCAAATCCTAAATCTGACGCTGTAAAGTAACTCCAGCTGTCACAAAGTGTGGTGAATTTAAAAAGGTGACCAACAATATTTCTCCTGAGATGTAGTGGAGTAGAGGTAACCTCTGATGGAAATACAAGCACCTCAAAATTGTACCGAAGTACAGCATTTGAGTAAATGTACTTTGCTCATTTGGAAAAGTGGAACCAAAGAATGGTTTGCTTGATGAATGACATAAACTACTTATCAATTATTAAAGTTATTGATGATTTATTTGTTGTTTATTGACTAATCCAGGGTCCAGCAACCTGTAACTCCAGAGCCGAATACAACTTTTTAGAGCCCAGTCTCACACTGAAGTCATCGAAATCCAGCATTTGGGCAGTGACTTGCAGCGTCACAAACCAATGTCAAAAGGTGTCCTTTAACGTCGGTATGATACGCGTCCAGTTGCTGTTCTAGTATAACCGCACCTGAGGGCATCAGGGGGACATGCGGCAGGACAAGTACGAAAGTTAAGGCGTCAAAAGTCCAAGTGAGGTTGGCGGGAGGGGTGGTGGATGGGTCCAACATACACCGACTTTCACCTGAGAGAGCAGTGTTCGTATCGTTTGTAAGATAATAAAGCCAAACCATGTTGATTTTTCCTAAAAAGAGAAGGACTTTAATAAATTGAAACGACATTAAAGAGACAAAATGATGGTTATCCAACCTGGTAACACTCCGAAGTCGCTGCAATCTGGTGCTCGGGCAGTGACTTGCCGCGCCAGAAACCAACGAAAAAAGGCATCCTTTAACGTCGGAGTGATACGTGGGTGGTTGTCGTTATAGTTTAACAGTGCCTGGCCAGTGTCAGAGGGAAACGTGGCGGGACAAGAACGAAGATAGGCGATGAAAATCCAAGTGAGGCTGGCAGGAGGGGTGGTGGATGGGTCCAACAAACACCGACTTTCACCCAAGAGAGCGGTGTTTGCGTCTCGTAAGATTCTAAAGCCAAACCCTGTTCTTTTTTCCTAAACCTAACCACATACTTTTGTAACATCAACTAGCTAGCTAATTAGCTAATTAGCCATCATGACGTCAGCATACTGGCAATTTCTTTTGTTAAAGAAAAGGACTTTAATACATTGAAATGACATTAAACTAAGACAAAATGAAGGTTATCAAACCCGGTCTCACTCCAAAGTCGTCGAAATCCGGTGCTTGGGCAGTAACTTGAAAAAGACACTGACAAAACAAAGGCGTCCTTTCACTTCAGCATGATACGCGGCTGGTCACTGTTATAGTTTAAGGCACCCAGCAGTGTCAGGGGGAAACGTGGCGGGACAAGAACGAAAATATAGGCGTTGAAAGTCCAAGTGAGGCTGGCGGGAGGGGTGCTGCCAGCTTTCACCCAAGAGAGTGGTGTTTGCGTCTCGTAAGATTCTAAAGCCAAACCCTGTTCTTTTTTCCTAAACCTAACCACATGCTTTTGTAACATCAACTAGCTAGCTAATTAGCTAATTAGCCACCATGACATCAGCATACTGGCAATTTCTTTTGTTGGGCTTGTTAAAGAAAAGGACTTTAATACATTGAAATGACATTAAACTAAGACAAAATGATGGTTATCAAACCCGGTCTCACTCCAAAGCCGTAACTTGTGGCGTTGGACACTGACGAAAAAAGCCGTGCTTTCGTGTCTGCATGATTTGTGGCCGTTGGCCATCATAGTTTAAGGTGTGAAGGGGAAACGCAGTGGTACAAGTGCAAACGTTAAGGCAATGAAAGTCTGACTGGGGCAGACGGGAGGGGTGGTGGATGGGTCCAACAAACACTGACCTTCACTCAGGTTCACGTCCTGTGAGATTCTAAAGCCAAACCCTGTTCTTCTTTCCTAAACCTAACCATGTGTGTTTGTTGCTGAAAGAAAAAAAAAACGTCTATTCTTAGTGTTGTACTGATTTAGTGTGTTTATTTTGAAAGAGACTGTGTGTAAACGTTAAAATTCCTGTAAAAACTGAAGTATATTTTGAAAGAAGACAATGCATGTAACAGGCAGAACTTGACACAGCGTCCCAGAACATTCACAACCAATGCACCCAGGGTACCTTGCATGTCAAATATCGACGTGGAAAGTTCATGACTTACCGTCGATCTGTGTTGAGGTCAGAGTGAGAATGTGTTCATCACCTTTACTTTAGGTTTAAGATACAGGACTTGCACCTGTGACAAAGTATTTTTACAGCGTGGTTTTGCTACTTTGACTTAAATAGACGATCTGAGTACTTCCTCCACAGCTGCCTCTCTTTGCCACTCACACAACATGAAACGTCCCCTCTGCTGTTCACACCCTGCACTTTGAGGATGTTTGTCAGGGATCCTGAAATAATAAGAAGGTGTGATATGTGTGTGTTGCTCCTCTCTGGGTGGCTGGAGCAGAAATGTTATTGCTGAAGGAACAGATAGGTGCTAGTGGCTAAACTTAACTCGCTGTAAATCACACACGTGCACACACACAAACACACACACAGACAGGCGAGACAATATGTGTGCCCATGCATGTCTTGACTTAAGCCTTTTGTGAGGCGCTGCTGGCCTCCCACCTGGTTTCTCTCCTCCGACCACTAGTATACACCGAGTGTGTTTCTGCCCTGTAAGACTAAACTTATGATTGGGGCTGGGTGGGATGCAATGTGTGTGTGGATGTGTGTGTGTGTGTGTGTGTGTGTGTGTGTGTGTGTGTGGAAAGGGAGCAGCAGGAATTGTAATGGGGCAGCAGCAGTGTTGGTAATGGCTGGTCAGCTGGTATGGCGAGTATTCAGGGCGGGGGCAGTGCATTGTCCTCTCATAGCTCCAACAATGCCCCTCTGAGCAGGCAGGCCACACATCTACCAGTCACGGGCCTCTCTCTCTGCCTCTGCCTCTGCCTCTGCTTTTCTTTCTGTCTGCCATATTTATTCAGCCCATAGTGAAGTGTGGAGTGAGATGTGATACGCAGCTCCGTCCCTGACCTTTGGCTGAAACGCCAAGGTCAACCAGTAACCCCGGTTAATATTAGAGCACACGTCCCTGTGAAAACATGACACCTGACGTGTTCGTTAACACTTTAAATGATTACAAAATGCTTCAGATGTTGCAAATATTCACC